CGCTAAGCTATTTTTTTAAGAGATTGTCCATCTTCACAAGTTACCCACTTTTATTGTTTTGAATAGGGATGTCAAATTTGTTAGTTATTTCTAGAAGATCATTTGGAAGCTCTTTGGTACCCAATTAAAATTCACCTCTGCCTTTCATCCTCAAACTGATAATCAAACTAAAATTACTAATCATAATTTAGGTGACTTGCTCAGGAGTCTAGTGGACGATAAACCAAAAAATTGGGATTTGGTATTGCCAACGTAGAGTCTACCAATAATAATTCGATTAATTAGTCTACTGGTAAGAGTCCATTTCAAATTGTTCAAGGTTACAACCCCAAATAGCCTATTGCTTTCTTACCTATCCCCCTTACAACCTATATATTTAAATCAACTAAAGTTTTTGAAACTAGGCATAAGTTAGTAATAAATAATGATGCATATACATTAGCTGCTAGTGCACACTACTATTCATAAGAATTTGATGTTTGAGACTACATTGTGGCTTCCATACATCCAGAGCACTTCCCAAGAAATTTGCTCAAGAAGTTACATACTTGAGCTTTTGGCCTTTTTCACATTGCTAAAAAACTAGAACCTAATGTTTATCTATTATATTTACCTCTAAATATGTTTATCAGTCCAGTATTCAATGTTGAGGATATTGTTCCCTATTAGGTACTTTTAAGCCACCCCTTTGCCCTCTGACGACTCTGAAGGTGCACAGCCCTACCATGCCCTAATTCCCTTAATGCCTGTTGTTACGCTGCCTATCAATTCTATTGATGCTATTATGGATGAACAGATGATTGTAACTCAAGTAGGTCTTGTACCTTGTTCACTAGAAGGGTCATTCTAACTTAGATGCCATGTGGATTACTATAAAGGAGTTCCGCAACATTGACTTTACTTTTTTTAACAACTACCAACTATTAACCTCTTTGATGGAGAGTTCTTTCAACTGCCGAGAGGGGAGAATGATGGAAATAATATTTAATTCAATTTAGGGTTTTTTTTTTAAGACTTGTTTCAACTTTTAGGGTTTAGTTTATTTGGTTTAGATTTAGATTTTATTTATTTGGAGTAAAATGATAAATCTAGGTAAATCAAGATTATCTTTGTTATCTTTTAAGCATTATTAAATAAAATATGATATCTAGACTAGTTAGATATTTTATCATATTCCATTGATTAAAGGTAAATTTGCATTATTATTTTATTAAATTTAGAGCTCTATAAATAGAACTAGGGTTCCCTTTATAAAGAGTTTTGGCATTTGAATAAAAATTATATAGTTTTCTATTCTTCATTTCTTCTCCCTTCTCTCTCTTCCCCTCTCCTCTTTCCTGTTTCACATCACTTGACCACTATTCCAATTTGGTATGAGAGGTAAATTGAGAGTAAACCAAATCAGTCAAGAACTGTTGAACTAATCAAACCTTTGAAAGAACTAACAAAAGCCAATGATTTGGTGTGCTAACTGTTTCAGTCTTATTTCAAAAACAATAACAATAACAATAATAATAATAAGGGCTAAGGTTCAATTTTGCCCCTATACTTATTTTTTAGGAGCACTGGGCATCCTATACTTTTAAATGGGGCAATTTTACCCCTTAACTATTTTTTGGAGGAGTAAAAACCCCCTTCCATTAATCAACCATTAATTTTTTCATTTTCTACTAAGGTGGCATATGCGTGGGGCCCATACATAGTAATATGTAAGACACGGCATATCCTTTGGTACTATTGTGCCCTTGAATTCTATTTTTTTTAGGAGTACCAAGTACCCTAAAGTCTTTTTCTCGAAGAGCTGGACACCCTGAAATTTTGTTAAAATAAAATTAAATAAATATTATTAAAATACTAAGTATCTTAATATTTAATAATTTAAATATTATGATTTAAAATATTACACCATCCAATTTAATAATTTTTATATTTAAATATTATTTTTGCTAGTATTTTATAAATTTATAGATGATTTCTTCTTTTTTATATATCGATCTTCAATTTTCTCTTCGATACAACACTCAAATTGTTATGCTTTTTATGTGTGTCGGAACTTATTTATATTTTAATATTGATTAAGTTCCTTAATTTTTTTAGTTAACTAATGATCTTTTTCCAAAATATTACATTACCCAAATTTAATACTCTTTGTATGTTGCAATGTTAATAATAAAATCATAAACATGACAAATAAAGATCAACAATATGAAAACAAAAATATTTATTTGAATGATATTGCTTATTCCATTAATATGCTACAAAAAATTACTTAACAAAAAAAATGGAGAGATGAGAAAAAGAAATCACTTCATTAAATTGGAGGTTCATTCACTTCATTTTAATACAAAATTGCAAAATATCAAAAATATTAAAATATTAAATTGAGTGGTGTAATGTTTTAAATAGTAATATTTAAATTATTAAACATTAAAATACTTAATATTTTAATAATATTTAATAATGTTTATTGTAACAAGACTTCAGGGTTCCCAGCACTCCATGAAAAAGACTTTAGGGTGCTTAACATTTTTAAAAAAAGAGTTCAAGGAGAAATTAGCACAAAAAAATATGATCAAAGTCTTACGTATCATTATGTATGGGTCCTACGCTTATACCACATCAGCAAAAAAATGAAAAACTTAACAGTTGATTAAAGAAAGGGGTTTTTTATTCATTCAAAAAATAGTTCTGGAGTAAAATTACTCCATTTAAGAGTATAGGTTGTCCAACGCTCCTGAACAATAAGTATAGGAATAAAATTGAACCTCAAGCCTAATAATAATAATAATAATAATAAGAAGAAGAAGAAGGAGGAGGAGGAGGAGGTAGAATAAACATGAAAAATGAGCAAGCTCTAGAACATGAAAAAAGATTAACAGTATAGGGAAAAAAGAAGCACATGAAGAAGAGGAAGGAAAGGGAAGGTGTGAAGAGCCCATGATGATCTTATCAGAAATTGGAAAAAGAAAATACAAAAAAAGAAAAAATCTCACCATAACCAAACATTATAAAACTAACCATAGTCCAGAAAGCGAATGGAGGTGTTGGCAAAGAAAGAAAATGAATTGATGATAAATGAGGATGAAGAGTCAAAGTATGGCTGGCTTCATGATTGTCAGGCAATGAGTGAGGGCTTTTCTTTTCTTTTGTGTTTTTTTTTTTTGGTGGCTGAAGATTGATGGGAAGAGAGTTGAGTGAGTACTTAATGGCAATACCATTTGTGCAAAAGTTAAAAACAAGATAAAACTGATGGTTATTGTTTTGTTTCTTCTTGCGATTTTGCAATTTTTTTAATATAAACAATTTAAATTTAATATTAGTTTTTTATCATCCATATTAAAAATATTGTTTTTACAAAAAGTGATTGTTAGTAAATATACACTGTTTAGAATATACGTAGATAATTAATTCATAAAATTTTTAATATTAGATTTTTATCATCCATATTAAATCTGCATAGTTTAGAGTATATATCTATTTAGATAGTTAATTTATTAAAAAAATTAATATTAAATTTGCATCATTTATATTAAATATGGACCAGTTAAATTGGTGATCATATTTATTAAATGTATTTTTAAATAATTTTTTATTTCAATAAAAAATAAAATATTAAATTTAGACCATTTAAATTTGAAAGAATCACATTCAAAGATTTTTCAAGAAAATTATTTACAAACAAGAATCAATGTGAAATAAATTATTATTAAAATAAAAATATAAATTTTTTAATGAAATTTATTATTAATTTTTTTTGTGAATAATTTTTTTAAGGACGTTTGGATGTAATTTTCCCGTTAAATTTTACTAAATGGGGGAGAAGAGAAGAGAGAGGATTGAAAGAGAGAAGTCGAGTGCGTTTTTTGTCATTGACATGATGTGAAAAGACAAAAGAAAGCTCGCCCCCTAAACCCATCAAAAAGGATATGTATTGGCTGTTTTACACAAATATCTAAAATATATATCATGCAATAAGAAGGAAAAAAAGAGAGATAAAAGTTTACTAAAATGTAAATAATTTCTATTCTTTCATGAATAATAGAGAAGATGAAACTATTAAATTATATATGTTTCTATTCTTCAAACAAATTAAAAGATAAATGATAGGAAAAATAATAATAAAATCTCTTTAAATTATATAAATTATAATTTGATTTCCTAAAATGTCATAATTTCACTAAATTCTCTAAGGACTTCTTTGTCAATAAAATTTAAATTGAAAAAACTGTTTTACCCTTATTAATAATTTTGATTTATTGTTCAATTCTTGCGAATCTTTAAACAAAAGTTGTGATTCTTTAAATAAAAGTTATGAATGGTGTTTGTTATTTTGAAAACTTATTTTTCAATAATAGAAATTACAATTAGCAAATTGTGTAAAATTGAAAAAAAGAAGTGTAATTATTATAAAGTATTTTATATCTTTAAAAAAAAATTTCTTTTAAAATACGTCCTTTAAATAGGACCCGATGGAGTATTTTTTTAATAATGAAACAGTGAAAAAATTTTATCCTAATTCCAAACTTAAATGATATATTTTATATACATTCAAAAATAATAAATCATTTTTTTAGCAAAAAAAATAATAAATCATTTTGAACCTAACTCTAAACTTCACTTTGGAGCATAGAATGACATAAAAAGCATCTTAAAATTCATAATTATAACAAATCTAAAAATAGACACATGAGATTTTCTTATAACATTAAACCCTACTTTTTTATATATAATAATTATTAAAAAAATACACAATAACTTTTCCTTCTTTCTTTTTCCCAAAAAAAAATAACCATTAACTAACCCATTATCATATAATTAATGATGTTATTATTAATATCAATATAATTAATAATATTAATGTCATATTAACACCATCTAAAATTATAAAGATCTAAAATGTATGTAAAAAAAAATTATAAAAATTTAAAACATCAAAAATAAATTGTAAGGAGTGATGACAAATTGTATGCAATATAGGCACTGAAGTTATATTTTTCCTAAAATTTCGGTATAATGTCAAAAGATTATGCAACGTATTTTGGGCTGACATGCGAAGCATCGAGAGTTTGACAATGTCCGATAGTATTCTGCGTTGAAACTGATGAAGTTTAGGGTTTCCATGCCCTTCGTTTGGAGTGCTTCATCCATTTATTGTGAAGGTAATTACGCAAGTGGCATGTGCTGGTATCATAGATTCTTTACCCTGTCCTTCACTCATTCCCGCTTAATTTCTATCCCATCTTGTGCATTTTTTCGAAGTTAATCAATGGATGTATGCATAATTGATTCATCGCTTTCTGAAACTATCATTCATTTCATGTGTTCCCAGATTATTCATCTGGATTGCTTATGAACTTGAATTTCTTCCATTGATCCGACAATTTTGGCGGGGGTCATTGATTATTGCTATGGATTTGGAAAGTGAATGCTCAATCTCTGCGGAGGAAAATGAAGTCGGGCAGAACAAATCGCCTCATGATGGTGAAAATGGGGCTGAGAGTAATCTCTCTTGTCCTGATGGAGATTCAACAGACCAAAAAGGAAAACTTGCTGGATTAGATGGTGAAGAGCCTCAGCGTCTGAGCGGAACAAATCTTTCCGAGAGTTCACATCCGACAACTAAAGGCTATGGATTGAAGAAATGGAGGAGAATTAAGAGGGATGTTGTTAAGGACCAAAATACATATCTAGATTCGAGCAAATTGTTGAAGCGAGGTTTGTCTGGCGTTGCCAATTCAACTAAAGCCCAGCCTTTTCCACATGATATTCAACAGAATAGTGAGGGTTCTATTGGATCCTCAAATGTGTTAAAAAATGTTGGGTTTACTTACGGCTTAGCAGTGCGTGGCTCTAGTTCAGATTCCAAATATGCGGTTGGATCTGCTTTTGCAGTTGGGACGGATTCTGAAAATAGTGAAGATCGGAGTAGCAAATCATCAACGGCAGCTAGCGCGCCACACAGATATGCGAAGGAAAATAGCCAGAGTAGGAACATCGGTTCAAATGTTTTTGCGAATTCAACTCAAAAGGTTCAACATGGAAAAGGACAGATTGAAAGCAGTAAAAAACATCGAGGTGAAAGAGTAAAAGCGAGGAAGCAAAATTCTCACTCCAGTACGGATTCTGATTCAAGAAGTTCCAACGTTAATCGAAATGCTTTTACAGTGACTAGTAATGGAAAACACTGGGAAGAGTCAGTTATTTATCACGAAGGTAACAGCGGTGATGCTCACACTAATGAACATTTTCCTGATGAAGTTCACGTTGGATATTGCAAAGAAAACGTGGTAGAAGATGAAGGGCTTTTTCAGGGGAATTTGGCCACGAAATTTTCTTGGGATTTGAAGGAAGAGAAAAGCGATAGCAAACAGCCTTCAATGGTGGGGGATCCTCTAGTTGAATCCATTCTTAGTCTCCAGTCTGTACAGGAGGCGCTTGCAGAAGGTTTGTCCATCCTCATTTCTCTTATGCTTCCGCCTGTGTATTCTCTGTAGATAGATGTCTGTAGTATAAAATCTTGTTCGTTAGTCGGTTAAGCTGTTATTCTTTAAGGCTTTCTATATTTTCAAAATTCTTGAACTGTTTCTGCAGTTTATATTGTACACCAAAAAAAAAAAAAAACAGAGAGAGAGAGAGTCTGCTTCACCAAAGTTGTTTTACAGTTTCAATTATTAACTTGGATTGACTGTTAGTGCAAATGAGTTCATGGAATCTTTTATTCCAGAATTGAACTGGTACTCAAGATGTTGCAATGATGGTTGAGGACTTACGCAATGGCAATTCACTTGTGATGATGCCACACAAGAGGCTTAAGCCAAGGGATGATTATAACGATTTGTGAATATGTTGTAATATTTAAACATTAGGTGAGGGGAGAGATAGAAAGGGGGGAGGGGAGGGAAGAGAGGCAGTGTTAACGACAAACGGAGCATGTTAGACCGTGATAAAACCTGAATGACAAGAGAGGAATCATATTATTTTGCTGAGGCTAATTTTGTAATAAATAAAATGTTATTTCTCATCTCCCTTTTGAAAAAACCCTATTTTGGTGAGTTGGCTGGGAAGGGAAAAGGAGGGGTGGAGAGTGGCTTCCCTGTTTAAAGATTGTCTCATCCGAACAAGAGGCTCCTTACAAAATTGCCAGTCAGATGAAAGGAGGCGAGCCCCTCCCCTCCCCTCCAAAAACCCCGTACTAAACATAGTGTTAGGCATCTCATACTTCCATAATCTCTATCGATTGGCTCCCCCTTAAAGAGACAATGTCTTGGACTCTTGGTCACTATGCTCTATGACACTTCACTCAGTGACACTTTCCTCACTTTTCTTAACGGTTAGAATGTTTTACTAGTCAAAACCTCCCATAGGCAGCCCTTTCCAAGTCCACTAACGATTAACTTTGATACCATTTGGTGGGTTCCAAAGTGGGATGAGGAATCCTCCAACAAAGGCTTGTTGTTAAGATAGAGGGAACAAACCCACTTAAACAGCATCTGATATTATTCAGCATGGGACTTAAGTTTCCCACACTAGTCCTCATCAACCTCGAGCAATCTGCATTTCAAATCTAGAAGTATAGATAATCATTGAAATGAATTTGCTGTTGATACGTGAAGTGCTCAGATAGAAGATGGTGTTTTCAGAGGATTTTATGCAGGAGGAGGAAGTGGTGTTGATAAGGAATATTTTAATGTGGGTATGTTCACAGCCAGTAGATTTTGCAATTAATAAGGTCTTGGTTTTTATATTTCTACAGTTTGAAGATCACCTGTCTGGCTTGTCAAAGGAAAATGACATTTTCTTATCTAGAGTTCCTCCCTTTCCTTCTAGTGTTGGAAAATATTGATAATGTGAGCTCTTAATATTTGATTAAGAGGTGATTAATTTATTGCTTTCTGATTTTTGGTTTGTAAAGTTTGATGGTCTAGTCTGGCCATTCTTGGAATTTTTTTATTAATCCAGTCATATCGAATTAGAAACTGTTATCCATGATCCATTAGGTGAATAGGATATATCATTGTATGGCAATCCGGACCGGACCGGTTGGTTTAGCCCATGAATTGGTGACTTGGTCTCTTTTTTGATTTGGGTTTCCATATAAACCGACCAGCCACTGACCTGGTGTGACCCGGGGGTCAACTCAGCATAACTTGGCTAACTAGGTTACTAGGTCAGCCGGGTCACTTTTTTAATTTTGTATGTTTTTTTTTTTGCAATTGTAAAAACTAAATAAAAAGTAAAAAATTCAGCTTGAAAATTAAAAAGCAAAACAATGGAGGGCAAGGCAATTAAACTGGATTTCATTGTTTGTAGTTTGAACTTCAAATAGAGGACCTTAATTGTAAGTTTGAATTTAAAAGATTCAATATTCTTTTAAGTTAATTGTACCTTAATTGTTTTAATCTTCCATTATTTGTTGTTGTTCATTTGTCTTATTGTTGCTTAGCATTTATGAATTATGACTGTCATTGTTGATGATTTTAGTGTTAGTGATGATTAGTTTTAGACTTTTCAATGATTGAAGGGCTGTAAATTGTAATTGTAAGAATGAATATTTAGAAAGTTGTATTTTATTATTAATAGACTTTTGGGTGGTTATAATTCTATAATTATTGTTGTATTTGTATATTGTATTAGAGATTAATCTTGGATTTGGTTGAATATTTTCATGATTGATGTCTTTTTATTTAAATTGTATTATTTTAATCATGATTAGTTTGCTCTTCGGGTTGAACTACTAACCCGTAACCCATTGGCTTGATTGGTTCAATGACTGGTTCGGTTTTCAGTACCTTGGTATATATATGGAAAAGCAGCCATCGGAAAGGTATTTTCAGATATACCATACCCAATCTACTAATGGTTTGACACTGTAGTTTGCACGTTGGCCGTTATGTGCATTTTCTAGAAGGCAGGTTGTTTGCTTGTTAAGGATACTCTGGAGTTATTTTGGAGCCATTTGTAATGGTTTGTAAGGATCCAATAACTCTTTAACAAGATGAATAAATAGTTCTGGCCATTTGCATATGATATCTTGATGACTTTAATCCAAATTCCAGTGTAAGAGATCAACAAAATCTCATTGGATAACTTGTGTTATATTTCTGATTTCCCCCCCTGCAAGTTGCCTGCTAGCTATAACATGATTACAATGATCTTTAGCCTTTCATGAACTTACCTTGTGGTCTGTTTATTCTGCCTTTCAAAGTTCCCTATCTGAAGCTCAACAGCCTTTCTGTATTTCCCTTTCTCAAGCCTTGTTAAAATGTGCAACATTTGGGAGAAAAATATGTTTCTCATTGATGCTGAACAGTGTGACACAAATGAGCATTTATACATCAAGATGGAAGACAAGGTGGTAAACAGTAGTAAAGACTAATAACTCCTAGCGGAGTTGTAGTGTGCCTTATTTTATTCATGCGATGCAATTTGGGTATACAATTGAGATTAATATAGGCTACGGCAGACCCAAAACCTATGATCCTAGATAAATATCTTTGACTAATTATTACTATTTTAGATTTATCTTCTAAGATATAATAATATATTAACAAAAGATATCATATCTAAAACTAACCTAAGGAGTTATTGATAAAACAACAATGATGGCGACGACAGCAACAAAACAGAAACTAATAAAATACTAACAAAGTAAGAGTAATTAGTGCCTCTTTAACACTCCCCCTCAAGCTGGGAAGTAGATGTTAATCATCCCCAGCTTGGATGTGAGTTCTTCAAATATGGGTCTATCAAATGCTTTAGTAAGTCAGCCACCTGAGAACTTGAGTTAATGTGAGATACTTCAAATACTTTTGAATCCATTTTCTCTTTGATAAAGTGTTGATCAATTTCTACATGTGTTGTTCTGTCATGTTGGATTGGGTTCTTCATCATCTTTATGGCTGATGTGTTACACAGAACATCTTCACAGGTAAGGTCACCTTTTGCTTGAGTTCTTAAGTGACCTTAATAACCTTTTGCTTGACTCTGCAGTCTGCACTACTCCTAGATACAACTAGAGTTGAGAAATGGGCGGGCTTGGCCCATATGGGCTCAAGCTCTTAAGTCTAGTTTACTTAAAATTCCTCTATTTCTAAACCTTGGCCCTTATGTAAAAGGCTTAGGGCTAGGCGTGTAAGCCCGATTAAGGGAAAAATTAATAAAATTTAGTATTTTTATGATAAAAAAATTTAATATTATAACATTATAAACTAATTTAAATATTCTGAAATTTAAAACAAATCAAGAAGTCCAAACTTATCCAAATCCAAAAGAATTCACAAGAATTCAAGCTAGTGGAGGGTCAAAAGCAAAGTATCCTTTTAGAGAAATTCTACAAGTAAACAACCTACATCCAGAAACATCTTGTCCAATTTACAAGAAAGAGTAAGTGATAGAAAAGCAAACAAGAGAACTTATGCTATCTCCACATACAACTTCAAGATCATATAAAACACAATCAGTAGATCAAGAAGCAAAGGTCCAATTAGTAAAATCAAACAGAACCAAAAGCAATCAGATCTAGTCAGATTATCTGAAAGAAAACAGAGAGAACCCAAGGGAAGGAGGGCTCTGAGTCCAAATGCTACCATTGAGGTCGACAATGGCGATAGTAGCAAGGTGGTGGCACCTGAAGTGAGAAGGCAAGAATCAGAGGCTGGCTGAGATCGAGACATAATGAGGAGAGACGAGTCCACCAAACAGTTGTCGAGATCAAGTAGATGCGAGGGAAAGGGAGACTAAGAAGAGTGATAGTCAGGAGAAATCGAGCGTCGTGACTTGCTATTACTAGAATTGAGAGGTGTAAGGATAGGGATAGGAAAGCATCGTGAGGGAGTCGAGCATGGCTTTGAGGGAGAGGGAGTGACGAGTGGGGTGCCGTCGGGGTTAGGGTTTTTCTTCTTTGAACTCCAAAGCGATGCATTTTGGATAAGGGAGGTTAAAAAAAAAAAGAAGAAGAGGAAACTGGGCTTGGAGGTTCGCCTAAGCTTGAGCCTTTATTTTTCAAGGCTTATTAGGGTCGAGTTCCAAAGCCTGTTTTTGTTAAAAATTGTCAAATTTTCAAGCCCAAGCCCTTGTAAAAGTGGGCTTTAATGGGTGGCCCTCCAAGCCTGACCCTTATTCCCAATTTTAGATACAAACTGATGTGTCTTCTCCAGACTAAGTTCCCCCATGCATATGTAGCATAATCGATAGTAGATCTATTATTTGTTATTGAACCTTCATAATTAGCATCAGTAAAGATTTCCATGCTTTTACTTTCTCCACTCTTGAAGAACAATCCCCTATCCATAATTAGAGTGATGTTTAGACAATGGAGAGTTTTGAACACTAAATTCATATGTGCTTCATTTAGATCATTCATAAATTGGCTAGCTACATTCACAGAAAGAAGATATCTGGTCGAGTATGTGACAAATAAAGCGATTTTCCCACAATTCTCTTGT